CTAGCGGCCCGACCCCGCTACTTCTCGGCTCCTAACCGCCCGGCAGTTCAAACCTCCGCGCCACGCCCCGCGCATGCGCGCCACACTCTCGGGGATTGGTCGGGACCATGACAAAGGGCTTCCAGCATCACGGTTGGTTGTGAACATGCGCCGTCCTTCCCCGGGCCAGGGAGGACAGTCGGAGGAACGCGTGACGCTTCTACGCATGCGCACTGGGACGGTTAAGGGCTGTTTCTGGGCCCCGCGCATGCTCAGCTCTGTGGCGAGGCTGGTCGGTTTGGGCGTCGGGGAGGGGAGAGAGGCTGGCGCATCCGGCTCAGGCCGCGGGCTCCCACGGAGGCCGGCAGGAGGCTGAACCTGCTTCGCCGGGGCCCGCGCTCGGCCCGCCCCGTAGACCCCAGGGTTCCGCCGCGCCCTGCGCTGACCTGCCGTCGGGCAGAGCCGTGGGGTTTGTACGTGCAGGGCAGGGCAAGAGACCCGGACCACCCTCAGCAGCGGGCAGCGCTCTGGGCGACTCCGGGGGGCGCGGGGTTGGTGTCCTGCCCGGAGCCCGTCTGCAGGACAAAGGGCCCCTGTCGCGTGGGGGATGCTCCACCCCGCCAGGCTCGGACGAGGGCCCAGGCCGTGCTGCTGGAGGACGGGTGCGAACTGGCGCGGGGTTGCGGGCGTCCGTGTCTGCCCCGTGGTGGAGGTGCTGCCAACTTTGCCTTCCTGACTGCCAGGGCGGGGCCCTCGCAACGAAAGCTCCGCTGCTGTCGCTCCGGGCCCCGTGATGCTGCTGGGTGGTTTATTCTGCATCAGACATTACCTGATACGTTTGAGGACTGAACTTCCTCAACCACAATCCTGGCTGCATGGGAGAGTCCTGGGCAGAGCAGATGTGTCCTTGAGTCAAGAGAAGAATTAGCGTCTGCCACAACGTTTTCCTCCAAATTTCAAAAAGTTTATTTTCATGAATAATTAAGAAAACCAAAGGGGAAACGTGGACAAGCACCAAAAACCGCAACAGAATTAAAAGATAAAATGCTCTCCTGTGCTGCCATTCATAGTGTTTTCAGTATAACACAGAGAATCAGGCTCCTGAGACAGGTCTGCTCTCCTAGCTCACTGCAGCCCAGGGTGGAATGGGGAATAAGGCTTCTGAACAGCTTCAGGCCCCGTGCCCCATTACAACAGTGGATGATTCTGTCAAATCTCTCTAACTAGTTGGAAGAAAGGGGATTTTATTTTTGAAGGAAGAGGTTACCACAGCTTGAGGGCAACAGGCACATCTTGGGAACACCAGGGTTTATTACCGGGCACAAACAATTCTTTGAACAATGCTAACCCATGCCCCCTCAACAGGAATCCTTATTCTCTGCTGAGAGAGGGGGAAGGCATACAACCATGCTAAGTGGGAAAAATAGCTTTATTCCCAAGTTCATTCACACATTTTTAGGCCCTGTACAAAATGTGGACAAAGAATGGGGTCAGAGACCCTTTTTTCCTTCCAAGACCAGTCTGCTGAAAGACTGTCACAGAGGCAGTTCAGAGTAGGGGTCCCTCCTTGAAGATGACACAAGACAATATGGTACATTTCTCCCCTCAACTAATTAAAAGAAAACTCTGTATTTGGGAATAGGAGAGAGGGCAGTTCTCCAAGCTAGTGTTTAGCCTACTATCTCTGGGTATGTCTACATTGTGGTCCCAGAAATAGCCACAGTGTAGGGTAGACATAACCAGTGTCTCAGCCCCGAAAGTTATCTTTTAAACAACAAATAAAATCAAATACATAATAGGAAAAAACTGAAATCTTTCTGGGTGTTTTTGGGGAGAGCTGCCTCATGGGTCCTCAAATGCATATTCCTCAAATGCACTCTACTAGGACACCTTCACTTTGCCTTTCTCAGGACCTGCCTCATGGGCAACAGGCTGCTCATCACCATTCACTGACAGGATCCTCTTCTCAGGTGGCTGCTCCTCAGGCTGGCGGGCTATCAGTAGGCGGCAAGTCAGCAGGATCCCAAAGACTAGTGCATGGGCATAGCGCTTGAGTGGGTCACCTACTAATTGGTGGAAAAAGAGCACAGCCAGGACAAGCAGCAGCAGGAGGAAGTTGGCCACATCTTTGGGCCGACCAGGCACCAGTGTCATGACAATGCCACATGCCACTTCCAGGGCACCAATACTCTTGCGGAGAAGGATAGAGCTGATTCCCATCTTCTTTAGCATGGGGAGAGCCCGGACGTAGCTTTTGTAGGCTCGTTTCTGGAATCAAACGATAATAGTATAGCATGGCTTATATGGGACAGTAGAAGGTAGAAAGGTAAAATACACCTGACATTTCATCCCATAGGATCACAAAGGATCTTACTAAGTTAGACTGATACACTAACTGTGCATGATCTGGAATGATATATGTGGTAGATATTTAACATCATCAGGAGGGGACCTAGTTTCATAGTAGCTAGGGTCAGGAGGGACCTGAACAGATCATCTAGTCTGTACCCCTGCCACAGGCAGGAATGAATGCTGGGTTCACACCTGTTGGAATGATGTTCCTATTCACTGCAGTTCTCCAGATCCGTTTTCACAGTCTCCTTTTTCCTAACTGGGAAACAATTATTTGAAAAAGGAACACAAGGCAGCAACTGTTCATCAAGGTCAGAGCTGGCTGAGAGAATGCACTGTGCATATAGTCTAAGGAAAGGAATTACTGAGCTCTGAAGATGCTACTCCTAATATTGCCAGAGCTGGGTTGTTAGAAAAATATATCTTCAAACTTGACATGCCCTTTATAATTAAAGAACAGCTCCTGAATAATGCAACCTTGTCCCTGGGGAACTAAGGGGCAAAGTCAAAACAAAGATGCCTCATGATTCTCAAACCCAGAAACTCCCAGGATTTTAGTTTCATACACAGTGCACACTTAGTATAATTAAGGTAGATTAGCCAGAGCAAAATCTTTCCAGCTATAGCCTCCTTTATGATTTATTTTCTCCAAAAAAATGGTATTTTTTATCCTTGTTCTGTGACTTGTGCTGGACTTAATACAGTTGCCAGAATCAACATTCTTGGAAAGAAGCATTTAAGAGCCATTTACCCTTCCTCGCTACAAACAATCAAGCATGACCATTCCAACCTGGATACACTGGGAATATTTCCTTCATGAGTATATTTCAATTATTTTTTGAGGTTCAATGAGACCCATGGATTATTAATCACACCTAAAACTACTTTCAGTTTCACAAGAACAGCAACCACATATATTCCTGCCACACACAACTCATATTGTCTTCCACTTTCTGAGGGGTAAGAAAATGGCAGCCTCAGATCAGATAATCCAGCTCATTCAGATCTAATATGAGCTCACCAAAATGGCCAGTACAAATCAGTGACTAAACCAATTTGTTAATATACATGTTCAATGGTATTTGAGAAACAGGACAATAAACAGGACAATAAAATCCGGTTAGGGAGGCAGTAACTTTCTCCTCTGCAAAGTTTGCTACTTCCTTCTAAGAGCAGTGGTGATAGGTTTCACATTTTCCTGAAAGCTAGAAAAATGCCACTCTGTTTTTTATTCTTTCTGTTCTTTACATATATTAGTATTTCTGCTCTGAATCAACATTGTAAGGATGTTTAATGTAGGTTTCAAATGAAAGCTTTGGTAATGAAACCTCTTCCCAAAGCAGCATTAAAATATTGGTTGTAAATTAAATTGGTTGAAATGAAAATTGGTTGAAAATGAAACATATTAGTAGTATGCTCTACTCACTTGCTATTTTGAATGCCACAATACATTAGTGTTTATATTCTTTACTGGATTAAATGAGAATTAGCTGACATTGATTCTCCATTAGTTAGGATTAGGGAGCAGGGGTCTATATTCATCAAGCATCAGGATCTATGTTGTCTCCAAACAGAGAACATCATAGTGTACAGCACGGTAATAACTATTAAGGCTTAGTGAACCACTGGCACGTTATTTACCACAGTATGTTACTTACAAGCTTTTTGGTGTCTAGTGCTTAAGAGCCTCAGTTTCCTCTCTTGTAAAACGGAGATAATTCCTACCCAGGGATATTTTGGCACCTAATTAAATTATTGTAATGCAGGGAAGGCACTGAAGTAGAACAAAGTATTTTTATAACAATCAAGGATTTTGCAGTTAGTTTAAACTCTCTTTTTTTTCCTGACTGTTACTTAAGGACATCATCCCAGCTTGAGAACCCTGGCACCTGGATGTGTTCTCCTTCCTGTCACCAAGCCATCTTTTCATACCCTTTCTCTCAAGACAATCATTGTGTGGGTACAGGCAAGGCCATGGGGATGCAGATGTTATGCGAGAGCTAGGGGAAGGCACTGGGCAGGTGTACAGAAGGGAGAGCATAGAATGTGCTAGAAGCTTCCACCATTGTTTCTCAGGGATCGTAAGAATCCTAGCAATCCCTTCTAGCCATTTCAACCAAGAGAGAGTGACTGGAACGTGTGCAGCTTTGGCCCTGGGCAAAAGAGGGAAGGGAACTCACTGACAAGACAGATCGTGAAGTGCTTTATCTCTGCTTTCCTCTTCCAGACCCTTCCCCATGCCACGCAAAGACAGCCAGCCTCACTCCCTAAGCTAATGGGAATAACAATAATAAGAATTTGTCCTACAAAGGCCCAAGCGCTTTATAGGTGCTCATTAATCCTTGGGCAGCCCAGGGTGGCAGGCACATCCTACATCATCATCCCCCTTCTTGAGAAACAGATCATTTAAGGACTCTCTGTCTAGCTTTCCAAGTAGTCACATTCCTCCCCCAGCCCAAGCCCATTTATATCTTGTCAGGGGAGCAGAAATACTCCTCCCTGTGCCAGGCCAGGCAGGCAGTCCTTTCAGCTCCTGCAGTTCAGGGAGCAGCATCTCCCCTTTGCAGAGGGGCGGCCGCTCTCCCATCCCCGTTGCACTGTCCTTCCTCCACTGTCTCCCATGTTATTTACCACAGGCTACTCTAGAAATGAGCTCTAATAGAATCTGGACCAAGGACTGGCAGGATTTACCTCAGCAGCTGAGATTTGCCTGTTTCTTTGTGCCCACCAAATAAGGAGCATCGGGAGCTAGCTTCATGCTGCCCTCTCCCCTCCCTTCTCCCGTCCTCCAGAGCAGCTGCTGCCTGCAGAACCCCGGCAGGTGCTTCCCTGCATGGCTGCTCCTGCTGCAAGGTTGTGGGGAAGAGAAATGCAGCCCGCTGAGAGCCTGTGTCCCTTCATTGCTGCAGCTGCTGTACTCACCATCTCGTTGTAGGCATCTTTACTGAGCCTTGGGGTCAATTTGATGGTTCCCATGAAGACAAAAAAGAGCCCCAGAGCCACAGAGAGAGCGACAATGGTTATAGTCCTGGGAGATGCCATCGATTCACTCGGTAACAAGGCCTTCTCTCTGCGGCGCTCTGTCCGCACAGGAGGTGGTCAGTCACCATTGAAGGAGATGAGGAGTAAGGCTGCAGCAGCAGGGAGAATGACAGAGAGAGAGAGAGAGATTTGGCCTCTTCCACTCAGCAACCCCTGGGTCCTAATGCCTGAAATTGAAGCTTGTTCGCTAGATGTGTTGTGCTGCCACCTGCCATATAATAATGCATATATATTTCTACAACACTTTACAGTCCCAGATATCCCAAGGGGCTTTTCAAAGTGTACATGGAAACCTGACACAAAGCCATCTGAAGGGTGGAAGGAGGCAGCAAAACTTGTAGCCCGGTGCATACCACTAAAAACAAGGCCATGTTGGCAAAGGGTGCTAGAACAGACCCTGGCTATTAGGAAAGACGCTTTATAATCTTTAACCCTGAGTCAGATCAGTCAGCACCACTGCTTTTTAAGTTTGTTTACAGTAATTAAACACAGAAAACAACATAGCTTGATTTATTTCCCCTGAAAGATACAAGGCAGGGCCTTGCTATTTGAGTCAGTACTTCCAGCGGTATCTAATTTTTGCCAGGTCACTTAGTCACACCCACTAACCATGGACCAAACACACAACTCCTTGCTTAGTGTTTAATATGAGAGCTCAATATATTAATGCAGAGTCTTTCTAAATCCTTTTTACCCATTAATTTATAGTCATCATCTGTTCTCCTCCAGTTTGCCATACAGGCCACATTTTCTTTTGACAAAAATATAGCCTGTTTGAACAGAAACCCATTCAACTCTTACAATAACCCAAGCAGCCATTATGTGAACCCCACCATCTGGGGAACTAAATCTTCTAACATGAGCTGTGCACAGGAGTCTCCACAAGGGTGGTAAATAGGAGAATCCTTTATCAGTGGCTCAGTAGCAGGTGGAAGAGGGATTCCGACTGTATCTCTTAAAACCTTGTCCTGTCTCTTTGACTGGGCTGGAACCAGTCTGCTGGAGACAGACCCAACTCTTAAACCACATTTAAACCTCTGAGCATCCAGGTACTGACTGGTCACTATTCCTAGCTCCAGGTTGCTCAGGCAACTCCAGGGACAAGACACTACATCTGACACCTCTGAGGCAGCAAGACCACACTGCCTGGCCACCTCAAATCCCAGCCCCCTTCAGCTCATGATTTAGACACTTTCTTCCTGGAATTCACATAACTGAAAAAGCTAGTTAAACCTTTTGGAGACAACTTGGCAAGATAGCAGGTAACATAGGCTCAGCAAAGAAATTTCTTAGCAGCTGACACTGTGCTGTTAAACAACAGTACTATGAAAAGCAACACATTTCTAAATGCAGTTCCCTGCTTCCTCATGAATCCTGGTTTAGTCAGTATCCTTCGGCTAGGTAGTAGCCCTTTCTGATTTCATGTATGTCATTGTGGTCTAGCCCCCTTGCTAGCATTTCTCTTATAAAGCATTTCTCCTATAAAAGCCTGCCCCCACCTTTTCAGTAGTTGCTCTTTCCTGTCAGATTCTGTGTGGACAGTCATAGTCAATGGCCCTACTGAAGAAGATCCATCTTCCTAAAGTGAAGAACCATTCAATGTTGACAGCTCTGCTATTGTTTCTTAGCTACTCCTTCCATAAGGCATTAAGCTCCCCTGCTACAAAAATGGATGCTCAACTCTACAAATTCTCAAAATAACAAAATAATACTCCAAAATATAAAAGGAAGACTGAGACAAAGCGAGCTTCACAAAACAAAATGGAGTTTTCAGCTGACAAACACCCCTTTAGTCTTTGATAGCATCCTCCTTTGAAGAACTGGACACATTCTTTGAAGAACTACTGAACCACCAGCACTGGAGCACAGGCACAAGACAGACCAGATTTCTCAATGGATATTGTTTATCACTTTATATTAAGTGCAGTAAGGAACTGGCCACTTGTCACTAACCGTCTGAAAGGTACTTCACATTTCAGCGATCAGCAATGAACAGGCAAGGAAATGTGTGTAAAGGACCTGGAATATGGGAGATACTCCAAACTTAGTTTTCCTCACATTTTAGCCCAAAGGAACACTGATTTCCAAACAGAATAATGGTCCCCCTAGTTGGCTGTCCTGTCTCCAAAAATGGGTAATGCTGGACGGTTTATTTTGTAGTTAGGCTGTGTAAGCGGTCACTTTCAGAAGGATTAACAGCACCTCTGGTTTTCTTCTCCCAGCCTTTCCCATAAACTTTTAAAAAATCTTAATTATCTACTTGCTTCACTGACATGACATGAGAGTAGAGTAGATAAAGGACTAAATTAATTTTAGTCCTTTATAGTTGTGTGTTGGGAGTTATCATGTTATCTAATCTTGCTCATGAAAACCCAGAACATTAGCATGAAGAGGCTTGTAGACCACTTTCACTGCCTGTCATGGAGAAAAGGAAATGGCTACAGAGGGTCAGTTCATACAAGAAATCTCATTGTGAATCTCATTGTCTTCTAGTTTGCCACCTCATGGGATATACAAGGAACACCACAGTGTGGCATGCTGAAAAGAGATACTGTCCAAAAGAGATTAAATTTTAATTCAATAATTTTAGCATTTTTTTCCAGAGAATAACAAGTCACAGCCACCTCATTCCAGCTTTCTGGACTCTTTTTTTCTTATTTTTCCTACACTATTACGGTTCTAAGTCCTGACTCGTGTGAGGGTGGATCAGTGGGAGAGGAGCAGTACCACCTCACAATCTTTGATATGAGGAAACATGCCAAATGGTACAGCCAACGGAGGGGCAAATGGCTTTCCTACCAACTTCTTTTCAGCATTCAGTGGACAGCAAAACCTTCAGGAGAAGAACTCAAAAGGCATCAGTTTCCCCATTAGTCCTGAATCACAGAGCCGCTTCTTTTAGTAGCATCTGAATCTCTCCCACTCTCATTAGCAGCATACAAACAATCAGAGGGTGTATTAAACAGACACCTATTAGCAGTATTTGACAAAGATCCACCATTCAGAGACTGAGCAGTGGGTGACATGGTATCTAGAATTTTCTACGCTTAATCCGGAGCCAGTTACAAACATATACCTGGCTAATCTGGAGGATCAGTGACAGATTTAGGATCTTGTTTCTCACAAACTAACAAAGCTAAAAGAGGCTTTATGCTATTAGAAAGTAATCCTAGATTTTGTGTTATTTAACCATCTTCTTTGTTCTTTGTTGACCTTTTCATTATCTGCTATATAGTTCTGACCCAGAAAAACACCTAAGCACATGACTAACCTGAAGTAGGTGACTGGTCCCCTTGATTTCACTTTGCTGAGTAGGGACATAGGCTTCTTACAGCGAATCGGTTGCTCACAGTAAACCAGATGAAGGCATACTTTTTTCCAGTGTCATCATGTGTTCTGCATTATTTATCCATCTTTTTTTGAATGTGTTCAAATATCTCACTTGTCTAGGGCAACTACATTTTGAGCCTGTGTTCTTACCAACTACATAAAATGAATGTGTAGCCTTTTACTGGTGAGCACCTTCTCAATAGAAACAAAAGCAAGCACAGAAGTGTAACCACCTCTGACCACAGGCTGGGAGAGATGGCTTAACTCCTACATAAATTACTCCAAACACTCAGTCAAAATGAAAATTTCCCCAGGTAGTTTCATCCCTTTGTTGTGCCTTTTCCCTCTGGGCATGACATTTGTTACTTACACAACAGACACAAATGGAAAAGGCTCCTCCTTACTCAAGGAAGTTCCTCATGACTTCTCCATCTGGCTTGCAGGAGACATAGTTCAGTGTCTGGATGGCCTCACAGTTTTGAACGGCCCTCACTACACTGTAATCTGAGATGGCAAAAGAAACACCACACAAATACCAAGAGAAACAACTCCAGAAAGAGATTTCCGAATTAAGCACTCAATATCGTATTCTTAGGAAAAAGGAAATCTCTTTCTAGAGTTGTTTCTCTTGGTAATTGTGTGGTGGTTCTTTTGCCATCTCAGATTACAGTGTAGTGAGGGCCGTTCAAAACTGTGGGGCCATCCAGACAATGATCTGTTTCCTGCAAGCCAGATGGAGAAGCCATGAGGAACTTCCTTGAGTAAGGAGGAACCTTTTCCTTTTGTGTCTGTTGTATAAGTAACAAATGTCATTCCCAGAGGGAAACTTCACTTGACTAATCAAAATGAATCACTCCAAAAAGAAAAAAAAAGATCAAGAGATGTAGGGAAGAAAACACACGCAGCTCAGCTGCAAGAGAATTTGTGATCCAAGGTAGAAGGCTACAGTAACTGTTGCAAGGCTACCTCCACTGCTACTTCCCCAGGTGCTTCAGGCAGGGTTCTGAGATAAGGGAGCTTCTCTTTGCAAGAACTCCCATTGCAACCATTTTTTCATAAAGAAAGCAAATTCAAGGTATATAAAATTGTGATTGACGTCAGGAAAGTAGTTGGGGAGCTGTCTTTCACCCTGTCATGAAACAAGAACAATGTAATGCTTGATGGCATTGAAAGGCATGATGGTTTAATCCTATTAAAGGAAATACACTTTCATACTTATTGGTACAATGTAACATGGAGACCAAGCTAATTCTGTAATTGTCTGTTGAAGAGTTTCTTGTAGGTTTCTCTAAAACAGCTGGTACTGGCCACTGCCAATGGCAGGATACTGAACTAGATGAGCCAAAGGTCTAGATGCTATCATTCCAGATTAAATTTTGCATTGAAGTTTTTAGAAAAGCAAAAAGTGTCCCCACCTCCACAATTAAAAAAAAAGAAAGAATTCACTGTCTTATGGAATCCAGCCCAGGAGGGGTTCACCACAGCAAGAAGGGACTAGGCATCATCCCATGACGTCAGGATCTGTGGTAGCACTGTCTCTGCCTTTCCACTGTGAAACTTATGATTTGCGATTCCTGTGCAGAGAAAACACTCAGTCAAGTATTCACCTCACAAATGGTCAACCCCACTGAACAGAGGAGAGAAGGACCCTTTTAGGCACAGCAAGTCCTAGAGCATCCCATCCTAAGAAGTGCATCCATGAGCACATCTGTGGGGGTCCTGCAGGGGAGTTCATCAAAGGCAGGTCCTGCCAGACCAACCTGATTGCCTCTTATGACCAAGTAACTAAATCCTTGGATGATGGTGTCGCTGTGGACATAGTCCTTCTAGACTTTAAGAAGGCCTTTGACACTGTCTCTCACCCCATCCTCATCAATAAATTAAGTGACTGTGACATTGATGCCTGCACAGTTGGATGGGTAAAAAATTGGCTGATGGGGCGCACCCAGAGAGTAGTAGTGGACAGGTTGTACTCAACCTGGCGAGATGTGAGCAGTGGGGTACCCCAGGGCTCAGTCCTCGGGCCTGCACTGTTTAACATCTTCATCAGCGACTTGGATGAGGGGGTGGAAAGCACGCTGTCCAAGTTTGCTGATGACACTAAAATGTGGGGCGAGGTGGACACACTTGAAGGGAGAGAGAGGCTGCAACTATATTTAGACAGACTACAAAAGTGGGCAGATGAGAATAGGATGGGGTTCAACGTAGACAAATGCAGAGTGCTGCACCTTGGGAGAAGGAATCCACAGCAGACATACAGGCTGGGGAGTTCCCTTCTTGAAAGCGCAGAGGAGGAAAGGGATCTCGGAGTCATTATTGACTCCAAGATGAACATGAGCCGCCAATGCCAGACTGCAGCCAGCAAGGCCAGCCATACCTTGTCATGCATCCA